TATTAATATTTTTCATTGTTCGCAGCTCAGATTACAGTGCACTAGCATCAGATATCTAGCTCGGGGTCGCCTGCGTGCCGGTGTAGATGGCTGTCAGGTGATCAGGTGGCTCTTCGAATCACAAACGAGGTGGACAGCATTTAGTGCATCCTGCTCCGCGTGCTGCCTGGTCATGTCGTGAGAATGCAGGGTCGCCAAACATCACGCTATTGTCGGGTCTTCGCACCATGCGCAGTGCGAGCGCTCATCGAGCTGGTGCTAAAGTGGTTACATTGTCCTCAGGTAACCCTTTCCCCGCCTGGTAGCTGCTACCGCGGTCTTCCCGCCTGAGCTATGCTTAGTGGCACATGACTGCAAGATAATTCCTCGTCTCCAGGCGCCTATCAAGTCCTATCCAGATTCAGCTAACACTGTCTTTCCTGGCGTTCGCTATTCTGTTCTTTACGTTTGATCTCACCTTCACCTGGTAATCGGTGCTCGCGGCACCGTACTGCTTGCCGCTGGGGCCAGCAGAGACTGACCATTGATTGCGTTCTTTTGATGTGTTTCAGACAATCGTTCCGGTCTTAGAGTGGCAATATCAAAGAACTTTCCTTTCGGAGAGCGTTATCTCATGGCCGTAAATCAACTGCATTTAGTTGTCGTTTGTGTTACTATTTGTTCGTACCTGTTAAGCCTATAGGTAGCCTTGAAATACACCCACGGTGTCCTGCCTTTTCCTTTTTAGCAATCACTGGCAGTGCGATTTTTGTGTGACGTGCTTCTGCTAGTTGAGTAGCAAAGGGACAGACTTGCTTCTTCCCCGGGTTTGCGTAGTTAATTGCTGTTCTCTGTGACACGTGCTGCGTGTGGGCGACTCTGTGGTTACTGCACCCGCCCTGTGGCTTGCTGGTTTGTGATTTGGTAAGGTAATCACCCGTGCGCACAACGTTCGCCGTCATTGTGTTCGTCCCATAGAGCATGTTTGCTGTTGATTCAGGTGGTGAGACGTTGCCGCCGGCGCCCCGTGCTGTCACTCAGATCGTAGATGGTCGCCATCTGGCGGCTCTGGTTTTCGTTGTGTGAAGCATGGAAGGTGTGTGCATATATCCGTCGGTCATGCTGCATATGCAGTCGTTTCTCTTGAGAGCGCTAAGCCGACGTGCGTATCACTGTCACCGATGTCATAGGAATCGGTATATTCAGCCGTCTCAGGGAGATTGGCGCCTGTGTAATTGCTTTTGCGATGGCTTATATGCGTTTGTAATTGCCAGCTAACACATGCTAGCAGAAATAATCGTCTCACGAAATCTCTTCTTGGGCGTGAATGTCAAATCGGCCTGGAATTGATATGAACTTAAAGTACGGCCTCAGTGTTCCGCCGCTAGCCACTTAATTTCTTGTAAATCAAGGCTCACCAGTTATGACACAAAAATCGTCCCAAACAGCCGTGCGCTGGACGGTTTTTTGTACACTACCTGATGCCGTCGCTGGACTGTCTGGTGTTGGTTCCAGTGTCATGTTTGGTCAGCCGTCTCCGCTCCAACGCCAGTTGTGCGGGTTCCGTTATCAAAGGACAGAATGGGAGAGAGAGTGGCAGCGCTAGCTGGAACAGTCATCCGAAATGGTTTGTGTTTGAGTGTACTAAACAAAAAAGCATTGGAAAACAAGAAACTTGTTCAAAAACCACAACAGCTGTTCGTCAGTGAAACTGGAAGCACATACATTCTGGCGCAAATCATAGAGCGGAACATTGCGTGTAAACAAGTCATGTCCCTCATAAAAATGGCCAGTCCTTATAGTCTGTTGTTCGTGACATCGAAATCTCGGTGCAACAAAGGCATTGCCTCCATCACAGCAGGGTACGAATTCTTAGATCTCATGGGCTAAGTTAAGACCTAGACGCCTCAGGCTTAGACTGGTCAAAACAAATCAGGCTGGCACATTTGGCGTGCATTGTTCTGACGCCGCTCGGGCCAAAAAGGCTTAGCTGGAAGGAAAGCCAACGCATGATCCGGAGTCGTGCTCATACATTAGCAGGAGGTCAGATTGGAGTAGATGCTGTTTGGCAATGAAAATACGGAGAGCAGATGCAAACAGCGTTATAAAATATGGTTCAAAAGAAACTTTACGCTCATCGGTTCCATACAGGGACGAGAAGATACAAACTTTTTGCTATGAGAACCAAAAAGCTGATGTGTGTGTGTGTTTTGTTGGCAAACTGTGTTTTGTCTCTGTTTCATCGGTGTTTTACGTGATGAAGACTAGAAGCCAAGTACATTTTGCATCTTTTGGTCACCATCTTAAAACCCTGGGCGTCAAGTTACCTATTCGAGCGTAGTTACTGATCATCGTTCATTTGTTTGCTTCGTCTAACACACGTATAGTACAAAACTTCTGTCAAGCGCACCTTTTACATAAAATTTGTTCAGACCTCGCCTTGAATTACGTGCGCCGGGCGAAGCAAGGAGTGTCACTTGGCACACATTCTAAGAATAGGAATAATCTGGTGTAGCTTATTTGAGCGATTTCATGCGCATTTATCAGCAATGACGACCTTGGACGGACGCACGTTACTGAAAGCTGGGCTTTGAAGAAATCAATTTCAGTGAGACAAACATTAGTTAACTGTGAGTTCGTGCTTGGTTTGTAGAATTAATTTAGATGCAAAATCCATAAACTGTAGGCCTACACCTGGGTTCTTTTAGCAAGAGTCATTGGGAATTTTCGACTTTCACGACGTGGTATGTACGGGGTACGAATATTACGTACGAATATAGGTTTCGTAGTTACCGGATGCAAATTTCGAATGGAATATCAAACGCAAGGCATCAAAAACAGTTGATGGACAGTGATAAATGTTGAAGTGCGACACCATCGACTGATGAAGTATGGACAGAATAAGGATCGCTAGTAATACGCTGTATGCTATGCTGTATTGAACAACAGAACATAAAAGGCTACTGTAGTCCCAGTTAATATTGTTGGTTGCTATTGATAGATGGCTATTATCGGTAATGTTACTTAAATTTCCTAAGCTACTGCTTACTAGTTCCAGTACAAAAAGTTCATCAGGAGTGTGCCCTCAGACTAACAAAGCAGGACTCAATGAACTGACATGGTATTATCACACCAAATCATGAACGGAAAGCCTCCCAGTCCTCCACCAACAATGACCGTTTAAAAGAACCTGATGCCGTGACACGTGGGCTCGAGAAATCCTCACGCGCAGCACAGCGGTTTCATTGTCCCGTCTATTGGTCGGAGGAAGAAGTTGAGTCCTACTTTTGTTGACAAATGACAAGCAGTGGTTTCGTGGCATCGTTAAGATTTTTGTGTTAGTTAAGAGAGAGATTTTACAGTATGATTGAGACGAAACATTAGTATTAAGGATGGACTAATTGCACGGGTCGTTGACCTCGTCTAGCGTGTTGGTATGTGCTTAAGGTTTTGACCAGTTTCGGCAGGCCGTCGTCAGGCCTTATTGAGTCCTGAGGAGGGTTTGTGTGTGTGTGCTCTAACACACCGGACGAAGACAGAAGCTCAAACAGTGATGTCACCCATGAATCGAGTGAAGTTGACACAGCTGGCAGGCCGTGAGCCAGCCTCGTTCAGCGCTCGCGTTCTAATGATCGAGCAACGTCTGCCAAAGATAACTCATGCAACAAAATTGAGCTTGACAATGGACGAGGGCCGGGCCGATGAGATCACTGTTTTCCTGTGTGACGGGACTGGAGGCGTGGTAGACGCAGGTGATCAGCTTGACGAGAGCGCGCCCAGATTTTCGCAGCGAGGCTCTCATGCACGACGTGCCGGCGGAGCTGGGTAGCGATCGGGCTCCGTTACGCGGCTCCCGTCGGGAGCCAAGAGCGATCAGTTCAGCTTTACTCACAGACACAAGAACAGTAACCAAAACGGTAGGCTAAGTTAGCTTAGGCTAGGTGATGCAGATTACATTAAGCGTTTCGTTGCCACCGACTGTTTGCAGGCAAGGGTAGAAGAGCATTGGAAAGGGTTGGAGGTATTTTGTGTCCTTGGTGTCATTGCAACGAGATAATGCATTCATTGTTAGGGTTGATGGGCCTGATATCGTCTGATGCTGCCAGCTAGGAGCGCCGGCCGTGGGTCGGGCTAGATCAAGGTCATGTCATGTTTTGACCGATCTAACATCATATCCTAAGATGGGAGTCTCCGAATTCCGCGCTAATTGCCTGATTCTGCTAAGGAGACATAACGTTGTGTCCCGGACCGGCAAGGACGTTGTGGTGGTTGGGATGTATGTCAGAAATCTAACTACGAATCTGGTGTAATCGCCAAAAACCTGGAACCTGCGTCGAGCATGTTAACAGTGAACATGATTTGGCTTAAATATTTATGTATGCATCCCGCGACGCTTATCTTTGACACATTCTCAGCTGATCATTTTCTCTTTATGTCGCTGCTGCTTCCTGACGATCACATTCATAACAGCTGATAATGTTTTCCATGCTGCCCGTTTCCGTGTTGATCTTTCGCTTTGTGCAAAAATGTCGCGACAATAGTTTGCAAGCTCTTCAGTTTTCATCCTCAGCCTTATCTCCGTCCATTTTCATCACGTCGACTTATTTTTTACTCGATCACGCTGTATTCAATTATCCTGATCTGTCCATAGTTTGACCATAGCAAGTCGTCGCGTGCATTCCATGAGTTTAGCACTGCGTCCTATTCCGTTCGATATGTTGCCCAATATCGTGCTTTTGCCACGTGTCAGCCGTGCCGCGTTAAAAACCGCTCTCTCAGCGGGCTATTCGCGGTACATACGCTGTAGACGTGAGGTCACTCGTGTCCGGCGTTTCAGAGCACGACTCCGACCAGGGCTACCTTGGTCTGGTGCGGCCCGCCGATGGGGCCAGCTCCAAGGCAACCAGCCACGGGTGAGATACCTCTCGGCTTGAGTGCGTGGTCAAAGCAGGATGCTCGACGGTGCGCGCACACACCGGTCCGTACATGACGCGTGTAAGCTGGTCCGTGACTGCACTGAATGTGAGGATGTGCATTAAACAAGTCGGCGTCATGCCGATTGATTGGGACTGCAGTCCATAAATGGTCTTGATGTATGAGTACGGTGATAGACCGATGAGTCAATTAATAAGCGGGCGTGCGAGTTCACTATCACCGCACTTGTCCGATCCTGCAGAAGCGCATGAATCTGCTTCATACACCGCAGGCCGCATATACAATGCATAAATATGTATGCCCATTTGTCCCGTTGTTGAGAAGGAACCGTGTTCATAGATTGCTCCATGGCTCAGATTGGTTCGGCTACTTGTTCGACTCGATTTTTCGGAATGTTCTCGATCGTCCGCAGCTTCTTCCTTCCTTTAAGCCTACCACCAGTAATCACTGTTTTCCGTATTGCTAGCAGAAGGCAACCCAGCTCACCGGAGACAGAGCAGGGAAGAGATGAGAGAGGAGATAGATAGATAAGAGATATAGAAGATGATAGAGAGAGGAGAGAGAGAGAGAGCGAGAGAGAGAGAGAGAGAGAGAGAGAGAGAGAGAGAGAGAGAGAGAGAGAGAGAGAGAGAGGAGAGATAGAGATAGAGAGGAGAGATGAGCTCGAGAGAAGAGAGATAGAGAGAGAGAGAGATGAAGAGAGACGAGAGAGAGAGAGAGAGCACAAGTAACACAATTCAGTTACATAAATTGCAGAACATCCAAGCTCCGCTACCGTTGGCTTTAGTATACTTCATAACACGGATAACTTAACAAAAATTGTTCACTTTCGCATTTTTTTATGGGTGACATATTGCACGCTTATGGTCGATGCATTAGCCAGAAATGAACGGGAAACCACACGTTTAGTGCAATTATATTTTAATTTGCTTTCCGGATGTGTCGGCGCATTGAGACTGCAGCGTCCTGGAACACACGCAATGAGGCGCGGACATTCACGGCACTGGAGCCGCCAGCCGGCGTCTGAGCGCATGAGCGCAATGTCGTGATTGGCGCGTGGCCCCCAGGTCATCGAGCGACCTGCAGGCGCCGTGTCCGGGCGGCTCATACCAGCCGTCGCGACGGCAGGGCTCCACGCCCCGCACACTCAACGCGCCGGCGCCGGCGCCGGGCCGCGGCTGCTCGTCTTCCTCAGGTCAGTGGGCGCGGCGTCGCGTCTTCCCCAGGGCAGCGCGTGGCATACCTCGTCATTCGCAGGTCAGCAGGCGGCATATCACGTCATTTGCAGGTCGGCGGGCGTCATTCCTTGTCTTTCTCAGGTCAGCGGCTGCCGCTTGAGATGCCGCGCGCCGCTCAGTCTTCCTCAGGACATTGGGTACCGCCCCATCTTCCGTTTTGTCTCGATCGCCGTCCACACGTCGCAGCTGTCCACAGGTCACAGCTGTCAACACGCTGCAGCTGTTCACACGTCGCAGCTGTCCACAGGTCACAGCTGTCAACACGCTACAGCTGTTCACACGTCGCAGCTGTCCACAGGACGCGGTCGTCCACAGTCCACGTCTGTCTAGGGTCGGGCCGCACGGTAGCACACGCACTGTGCGCACGAGGCGTCGGGGTCAGCAGTGACAGCAGACTGTTTGTGGTGTTGAGAACTAACCTCCGCGCGGAAAGCCGCTAGCCCTCAGGCTTCGGCCGAGAACGAAAACGCCTGGTCCCGCATGAAACGGTTTTTCATGTGCACCGGAGGACGGGGGATCATTGTTTGGCAGTTGAACTAAACCTGCCCTTGCTTTTCAGCATGTGGTTTTAAAAGTGGGGCGGGGAAGAAACTTTGAACTGTTGAAATTTGCAAGCGCGTGCAAACACATGGAGAGTACCGCTGAAACCAAAGTCGTTAAAGACACGGGCATGCTTGTCTGGACAGGGAAGCAGTATCACGTGGGCCATTCTTAAGACTGGTATTCATTGTCTAGACAGTGAGGCATTATTACGTGGGCCATGCTGTTACCTTGTCGTTCAGCCGAAGCGTTACCAGTGGGCACACTACTAGTATGCCACGATTGAAATTCTCCAGCCGCGGCTGGTGTCAGATTCAGGATAACAAGCCCCTGTTGTCGGAGCCGTCATCTCAACGTTGCGAACACTTGGAATCCATTTACATTTTAATCACCACGCCTGCCGGTTGGAATCAAAGGTATTAACACTTGGGCTGAATTAGAAAGTCCACTGAAGTTTCTCTTTTCCGTTTTGTGCTTTTCTGCACCACTTTTGAATCACCACTGCTGGGAACCCACCCTGCGGGGCACCACATACCAATCGCAGGCTCATCAATGGCCAGGGCCCTGCCTCAGCCCTTCGCGTACCATTTGCAAGTAACTGCTAAGAGAAGCGTCTCACCAACTAGCGTTCCCACGGTTAAAGTTCGACTCTGATCTGGAGAGGACCCGTGGTAGCCGCAGGCAGCCGCGGCCTGATTCCGTGTCAGTATGCGTCATTGCCAGGGAAGCAAAGTTCGCTGCCGGCGATGTTTCTGCGCACCGCACGACTGTGGGCAGCGGATCGGTGGGTGCCGCGCGCGCGCGCCTGCCGCAGGTGGTGGGCAGCCTACTGGCCGCGTCTGGTTGGCCACCGTGAGCTCTCGCACGCGCCTTCGTTGTGAGTGTCCTGTCCGGCGGAGAATGGAGACGCGGTTGTACTGCTCCAAACGCACAGCGGCGCACCATTCCCCGCGGTTGGAGTGCCGCCTTGGGCCGGCTTTACTCTCTGATACCGCTAGGGTTTTGGAAAACGACCGATGATATGCTGGCACAAACTCAGTTGAAGCAGCTGGCGACCTGTTTGTAGCATTCACTGCGACGATTTGACTGTAATGTGTGCATTATGAAGAATAATATCGTTATCAACGCTGCCTTTGAGGCGTGATGTACGTGCACCACGAATACGAGCAGCTTGTTTAGTTGACATTATGGACCTTGCAATTTCCGCGTGACTTGCTGTTTTGCTTGTTTGTCTGTGGCTGGACTTATTTGACATGGTGTACGATGGTAATAGCATACAAGACCGCACTGTTTTGCTGTTCATCTATTTGTTAGTTTATGAGCGCAAAGTATTGGCATAAGATTTGAGAACGCATGTTTCGAAAAGCATCTTTACCCGCGGGGCAAGCGTGAGAAGCACTCAAGATGGCCTGTACTGGTTTACGACCTGGAGCTGCCCGCTTTCTTAGGATATTGTGCGGGTGTGAACGGAAGGGGACTTGGACAAGGGGGGGGGGACTTGGAAGGGGGGAACTTGGACGGGTGGGAGACTTGGACGTGTGGGGACTTGTGCGGGTGGGGGACTTGTACGAATGGGGGACTCGGACGGTTGGGGGACTTGGACGGGTTGGGGGACATCAACGGGTGGGGGGCTTGAACATGTAGGGGACTTGAACGGGTGGGGGGACTTGGTCGCAATCCAGTCAGCTAAGGCGGCGGCTTGAGTCCAGGCCTGTCTCAGACATTTACTGCTCACAGGTCAGTAACATTCGTGTCTTCTTTTCAGCCCCTCCCGACAACGGAGGAGGGAATCCTTTTGACTTTTCTCCGAGAGCAGTTGAGAGGCTTGGTCCTCAGGGACCAGACAGCAAAGAGAAAAGTCCTGCCCGGGACTTTTTCAGGAGCTTTAGCATGCGGAGGCGGTCAGCGAAACAGAAGGCCTCCAGCGCGGAGGCCGAGCCGGCGTCGTATGACCCTAACGGTAGAGAGCTGGCGCCGCTGGGCCGTGTGTTGCCGTGGGCCGCCCCGATAGTAAAGAGTGCCGTCGCCAGCCGGCTGACACTACGCGCCGCGCCAGTCGCCGCCGCCAGTGTGTGTGTGTGTGTGCGTGTGCGTGTGCAGTGACCCGCGTGAGGTGTGACAGCCGGCGGCGGCTGACCTGACCTCTGACCTCTAACGCCTCCACAGCGCCACACAGCCCGCGGCGCAACAAACTCAGCTTGCGCATGAAGAGCTTTTCCCTGGACTCGCCCGAGTCGACGGAGCATGCGCAGAGACATCGACGCTCCGGTCCCAGCGGCAGCTACCATTCGTCACATAGCCAATGTAAACCGCCGTGTCGGCCACTCTCTGTACATACATATTCCTCTTATTGTCCATGCGAATGCGGCTGCGGCATTGTCGCTACACACGCACACGCTCTAGGTCTCTGCCTGACTGTCGGTCACGCTTCATCTGGCACACGGCTGGCTTCCGCCGCCGGCGGCGCGTCGCCGGACGCGGCGCGCGCCCCCTCGGCGGCGGGACATGGCCGCCCACCTGCAGCCGGCGGCGGTTGCATGCGCGCCGCCTGGTCTGCAGTCGGCAGGGGCGCGCAACGGCTGTCACACCCTCCCGTCAGCCCCGGACGCCGCCGACACCTCCGCTCAACCGACCCCCGGAGGTTGTCGCGTCTGGAGGAACGCCCGGCCCAAGCAGGTTCGCCCGCGCGCGCCACCGCATCCCAGCGTGTCAGCGGGGCCGAGACCAACATGACCGGTCTGCTGGAGTGGCGCGCACCCCTTGCGGAGGCGGCGGCGTGTGGGACGTGCGGCGAGCGCCGCCGTTCTCGCCGCCCGTCGCCGCCCTCCGTGAGAGACCGCCTGGCCCTGCTTTCAGTGCGTGGCTGTCGGATATCGACAATTGCGCTCAGCGTGGTGGCGCTGGAACGTGCCGGCCGCCGGGCACGCGCCGCAAAGTCGGCCTACAAGTCGCTGGACCAGGTCGATGACCGGGCCCGCGCGGGGACGCGCGACGACCTGGTGGCCTTCTCAGAGCCATGCACCCGCGCTTCCAGTCCGGCATTCGGACACGGTACTCTGTCGGCAACTCTGTGGCAGCTAGAGGTCAGCTGGGACGGCCAGCGCTAGGGCTGGGCGGACCATAACCTTCCGGCACCCCATGCTACGGCTAGAAGCTATAGAGGCTCAGGTCGGCCACCATCATGGCCAGCAGCCTGTCGACAGCGCCGTCAGAATGGGCTGCTAGAGCCGACGCGGTTAGCGGCCCGTCTGTGTAGAGCAAACGAGAGAGCAGCTCGTAGGTCTTGAGTAGTTACAGAGTGGTCTTAGTTAGCGAGCAAACCGCTCCAGCTTCGGCACATCTTGTCATGGCGGTAGTAAGTAGATGTCCTCGTGGAGTGAGCGCCGCACCGGCTCACGAATCGGTTCATGATATCACAGAGAGGGTCTGTTCGTCTTTTTTAGGAGGACGATGAGAAGACAACAAATCAGATCATCGCTGCCGTGCGCGTTTTATACTTCAAGGGGGCTTGCATTTTTGTATTTTGTCGGAAAGCTTTACGGATATTTCAACATTGTGCTGCGCGTAAGTGTAGCAGGGGGACCATAGTGAGCAACTAAAAAGTTTGCGAGCGAACTATGGCGAAAGATGGCTTGCTGTAAGCATCCACCATTCACTTATCCTACAATCCAGCCAACGCGTGGGAACCGCGATTGCTCATATGAAGCCCGTTCATATGATGCCGCTCCAGCGTGCCGCACGTCCGACACATGCGTGGCTCCAGTGTACCGCACGTCCGACACATGCGTGGCTCTAATGTGCCGCACGTCCGACACATGCGTGGCTCCAGTGTGCCGCACGTCCGACAGATGCGGGGCCGTGCACTTCGACGCCATTCTCGTTTCACTGGTCGGCCGATGTTGCTTTATGTTTGCCTTGGTTGTTCAGCTCGCATAAACGTTCATTTTCTCTGAACTTTTCTTCTTCTTTTGCAGTGCGGCTATCAGTGTTTTGTAAATAATCGATGTAACGGGACAAGCGCCACACGCTGTAACATACCACTCATAGCACTGCTGCGACGGCGGCCAGCTCGCCTACGCACGGCATGTCGCGGACTGCCAACTGTGGGCGGTCACGAGGCGCACACCAGGTTTGCTGTGTGCTGCAGACCGGCCTGGGATAGCCAGGCCCCCCGGCCAGCCTGAACCACACTCCTCGGTCAGCTGGTCTCGGAAGATCTACGTCTGGTTTGCCTGCCGCGATGGTGCCTCCTTCTGAGCGCCTCCTTCGGGTTAAGGTGTCACTTTGCTATTAGAGGGCCAGGATCAGTGAGTTTTGAATGCAAGCTGGTTTGCCATTTTCGCAAATTATTGCTGTCCATTACTACCCGAAAGCAAAGACCCTTCGCCTTTGCTTGCTTTATCAACTCCCCCCTCCCACGTCAACTGCAATACAATAATTTCCTACGATTTGCCCCCTCCCCCCCCCCCCCTCTCCAAATCCAGCTCGAGTCTCTCGTCCCTCAGAGGCTGTTCACGGTGTATCCGTCGGCCGCCAGTCGGAGCCGTCTGCCGCTGTCGTCGCTCACGATTGGTCCGTTATTGTTGGTGCTTGCAGCTCCCTCCAGTCCCGTGCACAATCGCCGACTGCTCTCGGCCAAGGCTATGCGGATGTCGTCTCTGGACCTGCCGGACGAGAACGAGAAGTCGCAGAGCTCTGCCTCCACCTCGCCCTGTCCGTCCCCGGTGAGTGCGGCTCGGCTGGCGGAGTGACCCTGTCTCTCGGTGAGCTTCTGTGCCAAATTAGAAAACCATGGGGTCACCTGTCGGTCCGGTCTGGGTCAACTGGGTTGACTTGGTGGCGGATTGGTACGCCAGTTGGGTAGCGCTCGCCGTGTTCTGAACTGAATTATTCATGTTTAGCTGGTCGAGTGGCAGAGATGGGCCCCGCTCCGATCATTTGGATTCTGTCCCACTCGGTGCACGTCCATTTCGACTTGGAGCCATTTTTCCGAGAAACTTTGGATCCGCGTCATAGAGAGGCCCGTGCAACTATCGAATGAGGTGTGTCGCGAAAACGAGCCTCGGAAGTTCGCCGCTGCTTTCCAAAGAGCAACTGTTGGATGCTGACAAATCTTACCAGCTGAAATAGATTGACAATTTTTCGCTTTGTCATCTGTCGCAACGCGAGGAACCAGACAACTGAAATGATGGAAGTATCTTGACACCTTTTCGCCTCCATTGAGCTTAACTGCACCTCCCATAATAGATCTAAACTTCACGGAATTATTGCAGCGCATAGAGCATTCTTGGCGCAAGTAAAGATATCGAATGAATCATGAGAGTTCGTCGCAAGTATAACTAAAAAGATAAAGTTGGTAAAACTACCTAGATCACTCAAAATGATTCTTCTGTGGGCTCACTCCCTGTAAACACCTGTGTCTTTTTATTCGGCCTATATAGATGGTCTTAGCATCCCCAAATAAAAAATGATGTTTAAGGTGCGATATGTTCCGTTGTTTGGAGATAGCAATAACTTAGGAATGGACCATCGTGCGACAACTGAACGCCCAGTACACTGTACAGTTTGTAATGTTTGGAAATGAACCACCACAATGCACTTTCGTCACACAGCGGCGTAGCTGACCTTGATTTGGGACATCACTCTATGGCACTGCATCCCTCACGTAAAAGCGCACCAGCATGTGGTAGGAGAATGTTTCATATTTGAAGATTTTCAGAAAAGCATCAGATATGGTAAAATAAGCTCAATTGTGAGTGTTGATGTGCTGTTAAGTGCGCAGGCTGCTCTAGACAATGGCATTTCACCAGTTAGTAAATAGTCCCGTCAATAAGTCGTTGTTTGATTACGTCATTGAACTTTTGTATCACGTCGGAGTCGCTGCCAGATGGCCGCATCAGAATTAACACTGTAGCGGACGGGATGACTCACTTGTAGTTATTCGACCTCCCGGGAGGTGACGCGCGTGTTGGCGTCTGTTTGCGAAACCCTAAGATCATTATGTGCGCGTGTCATGGCTCTTTCTCGCAGTGTTCTTGTATATTTGTACGTGATTTGACGCTATTCACTTGCACGCGCATGCTAGGGTATTGCGCTGTTTTTAAGTTTTTCGATTCTCGCAAGTCCAGTATTATGTAGCACGAAACGTGATGAATGCTCGAACATCCAGGGCAGGCTGCATACATGCGCCAGCCGGGAGTGGGCGGAAGTGTCCGCCCTCTCCCCCGGTGGGGGCGCCCCCCGCAGAGAGGTCCTAGGGGTCAGATGGGTGTTCTTTTGTTTCGGTGGTTAGGTCCACAGTTGCAAGAAGTTTTGCCCCACCATTATCCATTCTCCTTCATCCTGTGTCCTAAAATGGTTATGGCTGGACTCCAATCCAAATAATCAAATAAAAAGCATGTTTGAAGGCTGCACTCAGCGCGTTAGGATGGCCGAGGCCCAGCTGATGACCGCTGATGCCACGAATTATGTTAACGTACGCAAGACACGAATTTCTCGATGATCACATTTGTTCTTGGCCTTGAGCACTGCATGGGTAATGAGGTGGTGGTATTTAGGTAACACTTGCATGCCGTCATGAATGTTCGGGTGACTTCGAAATAATCGGCACGAAATAGCCTGTGCATGGTCATGGGCGCTAACGTCGGAAACAAAAGGGGTTTAAACCTTAAGAAGGGCATGGCTGTGAACTGCACTGAATGATCCTCCAAATGGTCATCAAAGTGCGAACCCCCACAGAAATGCGGAACATTCTCTTAAATGGTAAGAAGCCTGCTCTTTGGCGCTGGAATATTTTAGTACGCAGCTGCCACGTAATAAGTTGTCCACGAATCCACACATGAGATTGGCTTTTTTATTCTGTGGCTGAGTGCTGCTACAGAGCACTAACCCCTTTTCGACTCTGGGCCTCCAGCCAGGAACACACCGGATTGGGTGTGGGGCGAGCTAGATGGCTACATGGTCGAATAGTCGAATATTACATGCAGGTTTTGGCAGCTGAGTAAAATGGCTAAGACTGATAAAGTCTTATCCTTCTTTGTCACACTCTCCTCACCCATGATACTGATCTCCAGCATTGAAGTCTGGACTAGTTCCACTCACAGATAAGCCATTGTAAATGCTGTGAGCGTCAGAAAGAAACAATCCAGAATTATGTCCGTGCTCATCCTACATCGAAACGATTTTTCATATTACATCACGTTTCTGGGTTCTATGCACTTCCAGCTTACGACTTAATAACCCTATTACACTAACAACACAAATTACGATGGGAAAAATCAACCAACAGCTATCACAACTACTATATAGCCACTGTGTGTCATCACGTCCTCCAACTCTCCTCCATTTCCATCCAGAGTGTTTGCTCGCGCTCTCGTCGCCGGACGTTGTTGTTTGTCTTCCTCCCATGCATTCATCTTCATTAGCGCCGTGTGCGTAAGCGCTGTGAGTGGCGCCATGAGTGACGTGAGTGACGCACTTCTGCCGGAGGGGCCGCTGCATCGTGCGCCGCGCCGCGCCGCGCCGCGCCGCGCCTCACCCAGCGCGCCTGTTCCAGCAAAAGCCGCACCGCCTGCTGCCCACAAGCCTGTACGTTGTGCTGTACAACTTCTCGTCTCGGCACCAGGACGAGCTGGATCTGAAGTGAGTGGCCGCGCTGCCGTGCCCAACTCGCTGGGCGCGCGCCGGTCGGCCGCCGAACCTGACCTGTGGCCTGTGTCGGCAGGCGTAACACGCACTTCAGGGCACGTCGTAAAGGCAGAGCCGTCATGTGCCGTCACGGAACTTGATGAAACGCGTCCTCCATGCAATGCACTAGTGAACAAAAGTGTTAAGCGCTACGTTATTGTATATATATATATATATATATATATATATATATATATATATATATATATATATAGGTGTCTGCTTTTCCGTAAAGATGATGCGTATGATTGCTGATGTGCATACCTGACAACCGTGATTAATTTGAACGATAGTTGGTACAGTAAAGCAGGCGTCCGATGTATCACTTCAAAGCTTTATGATTTTTGACCCTCGCCCTAATTCGCCGTTTTCCATAAGGCCGACTAATAGGGGATCGATGCGACTCACGCAGGGGTTTCGAAACTAATGAAAGCAGAGCCTAGCGGAAACCAGCCGAGAACGTTTCTGAGCCAAATATCGCGATAGGTACTGCTCTTCCTGTTGTCGGGTTAATCATGAACCTAAATGTGTCATTTCAAATGTCAATTTGCTTCAAAAGATTGCACTTTTCAGCCTTTGAAATGTATTTTATTTGACCCGATTAAAAAATTGATTTCCCCGAAACAGTCTACACATCTTCGTGAGCGCGATTTAAGGTCAGTTCTTAAGAAGGGCGCGGTGATGAACTGCACGGAAAAATCTTCAAGATGGTTTTTCAGTCCACAACCCCATTTTAAATGTGGAACACGCCCTTAAATGTAACAGTATCGGCGCACCACGCGTGTTCCACGGCGTCGTCGGCTGCCGCCCGCCGCCCGCGCCAAGCCGTGCATCGCTGTGCAGTGTTCCTCAAAAGCCGCCGCTGCTACGTAACTAAAAAAGCTAGAAATACGTGTTTAGCGTCCAAACACGCACAATGGATGTCCCATAGACTACTGCGCATTTGAGCGTGATGCATAGTATGCCGGAGGGGTAGTCTGAAAAACCTTACCGGCTCGCATCGACCCATCCCCTAATTAGGACGAGGGTTAGTTCTAGCATGCCCTTCATGGTGCCTATATTTGTAGCTGGGATGGACCCAGAAACAGGCATGAAACCCCAATTACTTGACAATGTCGGCGAGATGAAACGTTCATTTGAGCTTAGGACTATCACATTGCCACGTTGTTGCGCGTATGAATGCAGACACCCGGTTCCAAGGGGTGTTCAGTGCTAAACGAATTAGACGCCGGGAGCCTACATACAACTCATTGGCATACAACTCGCTAGCAGGACATGATAGTCAACTCTGGTAACCGGAGTATGTCAAATAAGGCGCACGCGAGTCGGCCTGGTAGAAACAGCAAGACCAAGTATTGCCCGGCTGTCATCTGACTGGATCCGCTCCCTCCCCCCCCCCCCCCCCCCGCCTCCACCCTCCCCCCCAAACACATTATGTACGAAGGTAAGGTCGCGCTGCGCGCGTGGAGAGACAGTCCCTGAGGCACCCAGGATGGATAGATGATGTGCGTTTTCAAGTGGGTCGTGTAGGACCCTCAGGCTCACAGTCAACCACATAGGCAGCTTGTGTTGAATCCTGTCAACACGTGATATGTGGGATTTGGCAGCATCCGACCAGATGCTGTTGCTGAAGCTAATGGTACAGAGAATGTGACAATAGAGGTCTGGAGGAATGGATCAGTGTTATGAGCACTGCGGCTCTTCTGAACTCAAGGTTGCTGATTCTTGTCATGATAAGAGTACGGAAATATTAAACAAAGAACGCGAAACTGCCAGGATAGATCTAAAGATGACCCACATCTTCGGATCGGTAACAAAACAGTCGCCAGGCGATGAGCTGTTTTGCCTGTGAAAGAATGCAATGGAGCGGTGGCTCAGTCGGGGAGGGCCGTCAAAGTGACTCAGTCGGAGTGAACCGTCGGAGTGGCTCAGTCGGAGTGGACCGTCGGAGTGGCTCGGTCGGAGTGAATCGTCGGAGTGGCTCAGTCGAAGTGGACCGTCGGAGTGGCTCAGTCGGAGTCGGCCGTCGGAGTGGCTCAGTCGGAGTGGGCTGTCGGAGTGGCTCAGTCGGAGTGGACCGTCGGAGTGGCTCGGTCGGCGTGAACCGTCGGAGTGGCTCTGTCGAAGTGGGCCGTCGGAGTGGCTCAGTCGGAGTGGGCTGTCGGAGTGGATCGTGTAGCGTAACATGATCGGGTCGTCAAAGATATGCTGGCCTTGCTGGTCAATCTGCGGTGTAACGATTCCGTAACTTGTGTACAACACGCTGGAACCTGACCGTCAATGACCAGACATTCAGCAAGGCACAGAGCAGAGCTATGTCTCAACCGATAGAAACCAGTGGAGAAGGGATCCTTTTAGAGCGAAAGAGCGATTGTCCCGATAGCAAGGCAGGACAGCGAGTCCACGAAGGTTTGGTAGGAACGCGTTCATCTTGTTGAGATGCGGAACTTTTCTCTCGCGTCCCGCTATTGCTGACGTGAGCAATACAGAGTCATGGAAACTAAAGCCACCTTTTTTGTTGACGTCACCGCTTCGTTTGGGGCCACATCGGACATTTTGTTTGCGTAGGTTCCAGTTGTGTAAATGTGTACCTTCAATAAAGCAGGCAAAATTATTAGTTTGTTTCTTCTCAGTCATTGATATTTACCAACGCGGAACAAGAATACCGTCGCTATTTACAGAGATGCTAAATCTAAGATTTGGCCAGTCACCCGACCTTCAACAGAAGCACGAACGCCCTGTATGTGCTCTGAATGGTAGACCGGCTTACTCTGCTGGTGTTAACCGAGCTCGACTGCGGAGGCTCCCAGACATCCCGGCCATGTGCTGATGCTATGCAGTGCATCAACGAGCGGCTGCCGGGCTGAAATCCATGTGTCAAATTATCCTTCACAGCCCGATGTTGACCTGTCTGGTAGTGGGAATTCGCCGAAATTCAAAGCTCATGGCTGACATGGCTGAGCTGCCGCGCCTGGCTGCTGCTGTGGGGAAGGGCTTGGCGGCGTCGCCGCCGCACACCAGGGGAGGGGAGCGTCACTGGTCTCCCGCTGCAGCCATCTACCCCTGCCGCAGGGCCGGCTACAAGCTGACGGTGATCGACACATCCGACCTGGACTGGTGGAAGGGCAAGTGTCTGGGCAAGGTGGGCTTCTTCCCCTCTAAGTACATCACCAAGCTGCAGCCGGGCGAGCGGCCCCTTCAGGTCACGCACAACCTGCAGGTGTCGGACGGGCAGGACGGCCTGCGTCTGCTCCGGGATCAGGTCAGGGTCGCCGGGTCAAGGTCAAGGTCGCCGGGTCAAGGTCAGGGCCACTGAATCAAGTTTTAGGGCCACTGTGTGAAGGTCATGACCGCTAGGTCGAGGTGAGAGTCGCTGGGTCAAGGTCAAAGTCACTAGGTCAAGATCAGTGCCTGGGTCAAGGTCAGGGGTTCTGGGTCAAGTCAAGGCTGCTGGGTCAAGGTCAGGGTCGCGGCTGATCCTCGATTCTGGCCCCGCTCCAGCCACACGACACGCTGCTCATGAACTTTATGGCGCCGGCCGACTTCATGGCCGGTCATTGACATGGTTGGACGCTTATTGCGCTGCAGTTGTGTTTTATTTAATGACACTGCAGTTGCCACGCATCATCGGAACAGCTAAAATTTAGTCTCGGCGTTTGCGTGGCGCACATTCGAACCTTACCCGTGTTCAGACCTGCAAAGCATGTGCTGTTTAAGTCGGCAATGCTTGCAAATGGTGGTATCGGTCATGCGATGAGCTTCTTGACTATTCATTTTCCATTCTTAATGTCTGTCATGACGTCACTCGGTTAATACGGTCAGTCAGCGTGCCCTTGACCTACGCGATCTGTGCTATGTCAGATCGTGATCCAGATCGGGGAGGAGGTGGACGGCATGATCATGATCCGGGACGGCGAGAACCGGCAGGGCGCCTGCCCACTGAAATACCTGACGGAGGTGTGACCCCGCCCGGAGGCACCTCGTCGCGAGGCCGGCCGCCCGCGGCGCGCCGGGGCCCCGGCCTCCGCTGGCGCACTCCCGCGGATGTGCGTCCATGTGTAGCCGCTACTGGGCCGCACCCTCGTTGTTGATGTGCACCACTGTGACACGAACGCACGTACCTGCCCGTCCCACGGCCGCCGCGCCGCACCGCGCCCCTCCGCGAGCGCCCGTCGGGGGCGGCTCGCGCTGAACGGCCAGGGCACTCAGCGCGGCTGGCTCCGTTCCCTCGGCGTCGGCTCCCGGGAGGGCGAGTCAGCCGCTGCCGGTGTCGCACAGCCGTCGTGTTCTCAATGTGCTCGCACCGCGCCGCCGGCGCGCGCGGCGCCAGCCGCCTCTCCACGTCACACCAACCTGACCTCTGTCCTCCCCTCCATCTGCCCCCGGGCTGTAAACACGCTTACACTGGCCCCCTGTTGGTCGGTCCGGGTCCGCTGAGCGCGCGCCACCCGCTGCCAGTGGGTGGGCACCCGCTAGAAGTGGGTATGGACAGACCCCTCCGGCGTTGCACCGTCGCTAACTGAACTCTGGGTGTGGAGCTTTGGCTGCCATGCGCTGCGGGACTCAGTGACACACCTGACTAGCTGACGACTGACGGAGAGCGTCGTATGTTCATCCCGCAGACCGCCTCGAGAGTTTGCACGTTTGTTTCAGCGACCACACCACAGCACGTGATGCGCTTGGCTTACCGGTGCCTCCCCCCCCCCCCCCCCGCCCCCTGGATACTCCGAATGTGCTTTGCGTTCTGACGACGGCCGCCCTATGTTTTACGCCCGGCCGACAGACCGCCGCCATTGTGTCCTGCATTCTGCCAACGGCCGCCCTATGTTTTACGCCCGGCCGACAGACCGCCGCCATTGTGTCCTGCATTCTGCCAACGGCCGCCCTATGTTTTACGCCCGGCCGACAGACCGCCGCCATTGTGTCCTGCATTCTGCCAACGGCCGCCCTATGTTTTACACCCGGCCGACAGACCGCCGCCATTGTGTCCTGCAGTTGGCTCGAGCTTGCTACTGAAGTGGGCTGCAACACTCGACTGGCCGACTGCACTGGGATGTGTTTCGTTTGTTTCTGACGAGCGGCTTCGAGTGCACCATACAACAGCCTGACTGACCGCCCAAGGGCCACGTCCACTCATTTAACCCACACTCCCTCTCTGTGTAACACTTTTGCCAGGCACTCGTTGTGAGTCCTCAGTCTTCTCCGGCCGGTCGAGACACTGCTTCGGCGCAGTGGCATCAGCGCGAACACATTTGTTACATTTGAGGAGGCGTTTGATTCGCTGTGCTGCGTCGCATACCATCCTGTGTTAGGCTGAGTCGGTGTTAGTGTGTTACGGCCAACATCATCGTTTATTGTTGCAGGCAAGTCAACACACGTCAGTGTTTACATTAGTTATTAGGTCTGCCCATTCTCGTTTGCAGCGACCGTCACGTTTTATTTTAACCGTGCGTATTTAACCATTCCCTATTGACTGGACGCGCGCAGTGCGCCGTTTGTGTCGTGCTTTGCTCCGCCGCTGACTGGGCTGGGACAGCACCTGTGCGGCCCCGCTGCCAGCGGACGCCGGCCGCTGGTGTGGCGGCGACAGCCCGCCCTCGGTGTGCACCGTATCATGTGTAGTATACCAGCTACCAATAAATCTGAGGAATTTCTATATCGTAAAACGCGCGTCTGCTGAACCGGACCGACGTGAGCGGTGTGAGCAGGACGCAGCGCCGGTGCCGAGGGGGCGGGATGACGGCTCCGCAGCACGCCGTCGCGAGGTCAGGGGTGCAAGAGGCGGCCTCGTGTCCCGGACGGCGGCGGGCACTGCTCTTACGTGCCACGCAGGCCTGCTGTGCAGGCGGCCCGAGCCGGCAGCAGTGTAAGCATGACCACATACAGATGGTTTGGTCTATGACCGGAGTCTTTTGAAAAAGGTGGTAGTGCTCCTTACGCTGCAGATGCTGCCTTGCTTTCAACAGTGGCTTTAAAGGGGTTGAGCCAGCCAGAAAATATTCTGTTGTTTTTTAAAATATGATACGTAAAAATGTGCTGCCTGCCAGGGCCTTGGCCTTTACGTTGCAATCCTTCTGCAACATGCTCACATTGACATGGGCCATACGCCTCCCCACCTTCCCCTCCTTTATTCCACGGAGTACAATGAAACGGTACTTTCAGATATAGCAGTTTTTATTACATGGCTTAACGGTGGAAGACAAAGCTTAGAAGCCGTAATGTTTCAGTTGCTCGAATTGTCTGCGGTTAGACGGCTGTTCCCTAGAATACTCTCTTGATCGATGCAATCCCTCTAATCGATGCAATGCCCCGGAAGCCTGAACTGGCGTAGGACGTCCACTCCGGACGTCCCAGGATCGAGGTTACACCGTAAACGTAATTACTCGTTCAAATTCGTGATCACCGGATTTAGTTAGCTGAATTCGATACACAAAGCCACACAAGTGCGTGTAGAAAGGAAACACTGAATCCAATAAAGCACGAGCTGAAGTGGATTCATTTAATCCGATTGCGGTGTCCGTGGAAGTGCAGAGGCCCAACGCCAGTGTTGGGCTCCGCACTCTGTCCACGTGAAATTCCGGCCAGTCTCGGTCACCCACGGCCTTGGCACTGCGCGCGGGAGTCTAGCCTGGCAGACCGTCCAGGCTGCCCGCCGGAAATCACCGCCTAGGGGCATTGACATGACAGCGGCTGCGAGACGAGCCGCCGCCGCCGCCGCCGCCACCGCCGCCCCTGCCGAAGCGCCAGTCGAGCGGGATGGCAGACGCCGCCGCCGGCCGGCCGCCGATCTGCGCGCGGCGATGCGCGCAGCGTCGGAGACGCCGCCGGGCCCTGTGCCTTGTGTCGGCCGCTGCTCGGTCCCAGGCGCGGGCCTCACCGGCGGCCACAGTCCGGGCAAGAGCAGACCACCTCGGCGCAGCCGTAACACTGCCTGCAA